AGTAATTTTTGAAATAAAGGTTTTCTGACTAATTACAGATTACGATTAAATGGTCGCCTGTCCACGAGTCATGCATCGATAGTTAGTAATTGTAGGTAGCTACCATGGACAGGCAGCCATTTAACTGCAATCTGTAATTAGTCAGTAATAAACCTTTATCTCAAAAATTACTGCTCGAAAAATGGCACATATTTTTTTAATTTGTATTTATATTTTATTATTTTTATAATTTATTTTTTCATTTTTTTACTATTTTAAATCACGAAATTTTAAACAATCTTCTATAATCTCTTCATGATTACTATTTATCTTTTTTCTAATTTTGGAATATGACATAGATAAGTTTCTTTGTTTTTTTAATAAAAAATCAACACTCTAAAAGATACTAGGAATTGCTACATAATTGCGTCTTATATTATTATATCGGTTGAATGTTATTATACTGTTGAATCATAATTATTTGCATATTCAAAAACAAGAGGAATAGATGATATCTATTAAACCATTCTGTATGCGCATAACGATCAATTTACTCATGAAACTTATATCGCTGTACATGTAAGAAATAACACTGAAATTTCCATCCGCAATTGAATGAGGACAAAGCGAACGCTCGTAATTCCGCGTACGATATCTCTCCGTTGGCAACGGCAGAGCTCCATCAATGTGTATGAACGAAGAGGGTTATTATGACCAGACTATCGTTATTGTCGCAAACGACTCGTCGTGTGGCTTCCGCTTACTTCATATTCAGCTGTTCGCATAGGTGGACGACAAGGAGATGACACTGTTAACGACATCACACGAGCGTCTTCTCCATAGGGTGCGCTTAACTCCGGTACTCTCTGTTGTCGGAATCGTTGTTACGACGTGGCACATCCGTACGTAATGACGCCGGTCGTGATTTAAACGATATATCAAGCCGCCGGTTCCGCGGCGCGTGTGTCGAGGCATTATCGTCGTCATTACGGCCATTATCGCGGAACGATAGTATCCATCCCGCTCCTTCCCACGTTTTCACGTGCTCACTCGCCATCAGGCTTTGACTCAGTCGCAAAAATCAAGTTATACCGAGAGCTTTATTAGCGAATCTCAACATAAATGATGTCTGGACAGATCCGTCTGTTTCTACTTAACACAATCCATAGGGAATGATTTCGCAATTTTATGATTGATCGATTTAAACTTTGATATTACTACCATTACTACTTTTAATATCGTATTGTTTGCTTGAAATCATCAGAAAAATATTTTTCTGACAAACAGAGTCGAAGAAATACTTCATTCTAATAACACTGTGTGACCACAAAAATTTTCCAAAAGGCGCGTGGGTTTGGTTATGTCAGGGGCACGGCCCACTACCATTTCCCACTCGCTTTTTCTACAAGTGTCATGCTGGACTCAGGTACTAAAAAATTGATTAAAAATATGTAGAGGCCGGAACACTGTTTATAAATGATTGCATTGCATAGAACTCTGTGAGAACTAATGAGAACTGCCGTTGAAACTGATAGAAATAGTCAGTACGTCACTTTTTCTAGAAGTTTTATGCCATTTTCTATATATAGGATGTATAAAAATTGTTAAATGTTGTTATTTTATTTTGAAAATGCATATCTTAGTTGGTTTTTAGTAGAACTATCGGGAACTGTTGCTAAAAGTGCAAATATTAATTTTTTTCTCGTACTTTAGAGGAAATCTGATGTGTCAGATTCGCGTAGTTAGCACGCCATATTTCCAATTTTAGTTTTTTCATATTAAAACTGCGGAACTATTTTTTATTTCTAGGTAGAACTGTAGAACTATAAAAAGTGCTACTGGAACTATTGTAATTTTTTTGATATCGACAGAATGTGGTGCCAGCTTCACAGATCCTACTATCTAATGCTATCTCATGTATTTGTAAAACAAAGTTCGCGCTCGCGCGCATAAGTGTGAGTGTGTGTATGTATGTGCGTGTACGTATTTGTGATAATATTTGATCTCAAAACCATGAGAATAGCGCAACTGGTACTCCTCGAAATTAATAACTTCAAATTTATGCCCCATTCTTCTACGATCTAACTTTACCAAATCTCTTGGGAAAATGATAGTGGGCCGTGTTCCCAACACAATCAAACCCACGCGCCCTTTGGAAAATTTTAAAAGTTGAAATCGGTCACACAGTGTAATTAGAGAATGTTAGAGTATTTGATAGACGCGAGTATTGCTCTATTGCAGCAAGATTGTACATCTTAACTTGATATTCGTATTTTTATATGTTAGTGATTGTACAATTTGTAAAAAATAACAAACCTTGTTGATTAAGAAAAATTTTCTTGATAATCAAAATGCTAATGCAAATTTCTCTTACCACGTTTGTAAAGATATTTGACATTTTTCCTGTTCTATTGAACATTTTTTCAGTTATTACTATCTTTCTCGACTGAGCTGCAAAACCTTGAAAATAAGGTATTATGTAAACAAAAATATAAAATGGCTTTTTCATATAGATCTTTATTTTGCTTCTTAATCTAAGTTACATTATCACAATATAACTTAACTTTCATATAGAAATGAGTAAACATATATGTGTATGGCTGTGTGTGCATATATAAGAGTATTCGCTACACATTTGCATATATGAACTATTATTATACATACATGCTACACTTGCAAAAACATATAATTATACAGACATCTGTCTGTGTAATTATATATAATTTTCAAGTATAGCAGCCAAGGTTGGCAAAATTCCACTTTTTTAAGCTTTTATCAGAATTAAAAACTAATATTTTCCAGAAAAAACGATATAATTAATTTTTTTAATCAAAAGTGATAAAATAAATTTTGTTATAGATTTGTCAATTCTGTATTCTAATTTGATATTTTAGTATCACTATTTTAGTTTAGCGTCAATTAAGAGTGTATAAAATTTAAGCTTTATTTAAAATAAAAAAGTCCATAATAGATAATCGCAACAAATAAATTAGTTGTTGATATTAAATAGTAAACACAAACCAGATTTATATTGATACAAATTTTTAGTTTGTTGCTTTTACATGTTTTTTTCATAAAATTAAAAATTAAATTAATAATAATATTTGTATTATCTTCAAAGTTTTTGTTGTAAAAATACAATATTTTACATATTAATTTGAATTGAAAAAAAATGTTATTATAAAATGTTTTGTGAATATCAATTTGTTTCGTTTTTTTCTTTTAACTATCATGAATACCGATTTGTTTTGTTTTTCTTTTAACTATCGTGATTAATATAATTTATTATAGTAATTAAAACAATAATTAAAATTTTTGTTCGTTATATTCCATTTATATTTCATTAAACAAATTCCAAGACCGTAAAATTCTGAATTTGTCACAGTTTTTCCACCAATTGGAATCTTCTAGATAACTCTATCTAGCAGTCTCTATTCTTAGGATGAATCATTTCTTATCAGATTCGCTGTAATTACTTTTTTATCTTTATAATGTCTTTCCACTTGCAATTCATATAAAACTATTGACGTTGAAATATGACCGGTTTCACCTTCTGCGTCGATCATTTTTTACTAAACATTCCTGTGGTTTCGTACTGAAATATGCTATTTCACAGTTTATTTTGTGACAGACTAGTGCAGTTGACGGTTGCGAGTAGAAGATACGCAAGTTAGAAGTAAGTACTTGTGTTAGTATTGTTTTAATTAAAGTACTATTTTCACATAAATTAATTTAAATTTGGTTAAATTTAATATTATAACAATTGCGATTGCTTATGCATGATCATGCTTTTATGATCTTGATATTATTTTCAGCTTGATATTTATTTTTGGATCTCCAATTGATATTATTTTTGGCTTGGTATTTTATTTTTTGAGTCGCCAACTATGTGTCGTACTTACAGACAGACAATTATAGATCGTTGGCTTGGTAAAACCGCAGTTGTTACCGGCATGGGTGAAGCAATTACAAATGCTCTTTTGTAAAACGAAGTGAATGTGGTTGCTCTGAATTAAAGACCTGAAAGAAAAATTAGCAAAACTTGATTTACTAACAGTTAATGAATAGCCTGTACTACTTACGAATGCTATCTGTTAACTTTATTGTGTTATTAAATAACGAGTAGAGCATATTGGATATTAGGTCATATATGATCCAGTTATATTTAGTTTCTGGTACAGATAAGATTTGTTTCAAATATGTAGGCTCCTAAGTATTATCGTTGAAATCCATTACATTTTTTTCTACACATGATAACATTTTCATATTTTCTATTCGTGGTATTAAAAATTCTTTGAACTCCTCATATATATAGAAGCAATATTTCTTATTTATCGCATGACTTTTCGCACCTGAATTCAAGCATTTTTTTTTTTGACAAGTCTGCAATTCAATTTTTGCTTTGTTGCTAATCTTTATATTCATTATTCTATCCACTTGCTTCTTCAAGTCTTCGCGCAATATTCTCGTTTCCAATGTCCATATGTTTTTACAGTTGTTGCAATCTTGTTGTGTGTTTAGAACTTCTATTTTCGTTTTTCTTATAACCTCCTTTACGAATATCTCCCTTTAGTGAATAAAGCAAAAAAATATTATAATTTCTAATAATGCTTTTAAAAAATTATATATGTATATTTATTGTGTGTGTGTGTGTGTGTGTGTGTGTGTGTGTAATATGTCCACTTTATTAGAAATATAAAATTATTTATTTATATATTTATTTATATATTTATTTATATATAAAAATTACATACAAATAAAAAATATCTAAGATATTTCGCGCGAGTGGGCAAAGTTATTATTCCATCCTATATATGTCTGTGTAATCATGTCTAATCTCGTCGAGTTTAGTAGCCCCACTTCTAGCGAAAGAATGATTTAGGTCATGACGGAACTACACTGATTATAATATTTTAACGTTTAGTATTTTCTCGCTAGCAGTTGGTATGAGACTATCAACGTTGATGTGACCGATTTGACCTATTACATCAGATAATTTTTTAATCATATCTATACTGGCACGTCGTATTTTTATTACAATTTATTTTGTGATAAACTAGTACAGTAGACGGTTGCATAGAAGATACGCAACATATACGTAAGTAAACATATACGTGTGTGTGTGTGTGTGTGTGTGTGATTGTCCACTTTTTTAGAAATATAAAATTATTTATTATTAGAAATGCCATTTCCGCCAATGAGTTGAGTTTAATATCGCTGAGATTGTGAATAATGTTTTAAGCTTTTTAGGAGCTTGATATTATTTTTAGTTTGGCTACTATTACAGTGACGTGTCAATTGCAAGCTATGTTCCATACAACACACAACACAGAAATCTTTCAGAAATGTCTCTTTCTCTTAGAAATATTTCATCTATTAGATTAAAAAATATCTTATAAATATTATAAAATTTTATCATAGTTCTGAGACAACTTTAAAATAACAAAATGCGATTCTGGCACTTAAAATCTTATGAACAAATACTAAAAAATTATTAAAAATTTGAAATTTTTTTCGAAATACATTAGAAATGCTGCTAAACATTTATTAAAATACTTTTGAAATCCCAGGAATATCAGAATAAATTTTTACACAAAGCTGAACAAAATTATTTTCAAAATATATTCTATTTATTTTTATCTTGGACCGTTTTAGAGTATCAGTTTCAGAGACTCGCCTTCAAGAAATTATCTCACTTGAACGTAAATGAAAAATCTCATCATGCTGCATTTTTATTCTATCCTGTACGGTTTTTAATTTATGAGAAATTAAAACTCCATCCATCCTAACGTCCTAACGACAGTGTGAAGTACTGATCTTCAAGTTTAATACGTTCCAGAAACAATTCTATTGCAACATTTCATGTGACATATTGCATAATTTTTTCAGAATTGTTGCACATGAAATATGAAAGATTGAAATATTTTAAACTTTTCTGAAAGCTTTTTGCAACAATTGATGCTACATGGGGTCGTACTTGCAGACAGGCAATTATGGATCGTTGGCTTGGTAAAACCGCAGTCGTTACTGGCGCTGGATCCGGCATCGGTGAAGCAATTACACATGCTCTTCTGCAAAACGGAGTAAATGTGGTTGCTCTGGAAGTTCAGAAAGGAAGATTAGCAAAACTCGATGCGGAATGTAAGCTGAAAGGTTTCCCGGGCAAGTTATATACTATATGCTGTGATATAACTCACGAGGATGAAATCGATGCAGCATTTTCGCATATCGAGACGTTGGGTGGTATAGATATTATGGTCAATAATGCTGGCGTTGTTGCATCATCACGAGTAATAGGTATAATGACTGATATCATGTATCTATACACATTATTTATCACATAAAAAATTATTTAAATAAATATTGTTCGTATGTTCTTATCAAGTGATAAGTCTTTTTTATAACTAACTTTTTTACACACAAATATAATGTGTGTTACAATACATTTTATCATAATATTACGCAATCGGTTTGATATTAATTTGAAATTAATAAATATATACATGTTCACAAAAATAACATTTAAGAAAATAACAAATATGGTAATTTATTTAAAGGATACATGGATATGTGTATGCATCTACGTATAGTATTTGTCTGTCCATGAAAATGCTTAAAAAATTTAAGAACCGAATAAAAATGTCTAAATGTAGTTTTAATTACCAAGTGTTGTATTATATAAGTCATCAAAACATAGCAATTTTTCAAGCAAAGGATGTTAATTATTGCGCTAGAAAAAGAGATTTTTACTTTTATTTACCGCATGACAGCGAATTGGGACTTTCGCTGGCAGTATTATATAAAAGCCTTTGATCTTCTCTATTATGATGGTTTATTTAAAAAATTCCATAAATTACATTTGCAGAGAGTGACAGGAAGACATTTGAAAGACTGTTAAATATTAATGTCCTCGCAGTCGCTGTGTGTACGAACAAAGCAGTGCGTTTGATGCTGAAACGAAACGTTGAAGGACACATTTTCAATATCAACAGGTACTGATTCTTACGTTAACAATGATTAACTAAATCGCCATAAATTTTTAGAATAAATAAGTTTGTCAAAAATAAACTTTTTTTAAAATTTTCAATAATTTCCATTTATTCGACAAAAATTGCAAAAAATCTTTTTAGGTTTATAGTAATGTTTACTTAACGTGCAAAATATGTTTAATATTGATATTTTTTATGAATAGTATTTTGAGCCATTATTTACCGCTGGATGGTATGCCTGACTGTAATTTATATCCCGCTACTAAACATGCATCTCTTGCTCTGACTAATACAGTACGAGCAGAAATAGCGAAAATTAAGGCTCCTATTCGAATTACGGTAAGATGCAATTATATCTTAAACTGTTTTCTTGTTATTTTTTTAACGTTATGTAAATGATGACTTTTAATTAATAACAAATGTATTAATCACATTGTGCGACAAAATTTAATCTTTTTTTCTTGGATAATATGAATAACTCATTTTGATGTATTTTTGCCCGCTGAATATGAATCCGTTATTCAATTTAGCTATCAACACGGAATTTTGAGAAAATGTCCAAGCAGCAGAAAATAACAAAATTGAGGGTTTTCATGACGTTGCAACATTGGTAGCACATATTTTTCTAAATTTTATTAATGCTACGCAATATCAACTTTTAACTTTAAAATACATTCTGTTTTGTGTGTGTTTCAGAATAATTATACGTTTTAAAAATATAGCAATTTGAAAATAACTCTTTTCCTATGCAATACATGCAAAAGACATTTTATTCTATTTGAATACTGTAATATATAGAAAGTAAGTGCTCTTGATTATTTTTTATTCACATACTATAATATAATTGGATCATACAAAATAAAGAGCGATATGAAACGTAAATATAAAATAAAGTTGTTTAATACACTTTAAGGCTAAAAATTGATACTTTTGTGTTGCATTAACGAAATTTTAAAAAATTTGATACCGCTACTACAATGTTATAAAAACCATGAATCATTGTTTTTGGCCTCATCAACTATTTTTTTCAGAATTTGGTTTACGGTTTTGGATATATATTATATACCTAAATTTGTGAAACGGATTTGTTTAGTGATCAAAATACGAGTATATCGGAGAAGACTATTTGTATACATATGAAAAGAAAATAGTATTGAACAGTATATAATTGTAACATTGATATAGTATTGACGATAAAGTTCTGCGATAAGAGAATAAAAACTGCAGACGAAACATATTTCTAATAATAGACACTTTGTGATAATAAAATACTAGAAATATATGTGATTTGATATAAACAATCGTTTTTGTATTAGTGCAATGTTAAATGTTATCATGAAGTTTATAATATTATTTTTGTACAAAACGTTGCCAGACACGCTTCTTTTTATCAATGCAGATAATTATTGCAGATTCTTACTGATCTTTTCAGGGTATTAGTCCTGGTATTGTAAACACGAATATAGCTATGGGTGCAATAAATGACTTTTTGCAGAAAGTACCAAGTCTTCAACCGAAAGACATAGCGGATGCGCTCATTTATGCTTTGGGATCAAGACCAGAAGTTCAGGTTCAAACGATAGTTAACTTTCTTCCTAATAAATATAGGACAATAAAAATAGGACCTAATAAATATAGTACAATTTTACGCATTACTTCATTGCAGATTACGCAAATTACCATCCAGCATACCGGGGAATTACCATGAAGATTATCTTTAGTAAGAAGTTTATCTATTAATGTATCAACAATTTTACGAGAAATAACTTTATGCTGATAATAAATGGGAAATTTTAGTGAGTAAGATCTCATGTTGCTTTGTATTTTTCAAATAATAAATATAAAATAAATATAATATAAAATGTAAAAATAAATGTAAAATTTTGTACATTTAAGTTGGTTTTCTTTGTATCTTAATATTATCTACGTTTCACTTAATAGATTTTCTAATATAATCTGTTTTAATATGTCTCTCTCTTTTTCTTTGTAGCTAAGTAGGTATAAAATAAATAATCTAATAAGACCTGAGATGTGAATTTTGTATAACTATCTTAGTATTATCTGTAACATTTATTTATCGAATGAATAATTTGTTCTCATAAATTAAACATGAAAAAAAAACAAAGCTGTTTCGTATCGACATCGTGTACTCGAAAATTAATCACGTTTGAAGGATATTTTTCACGTATGAATTATCTATGTTTGCGTACCGCAGCATCATTATTTCTTGGATCCTTGTCTTTTTCTCTTTTATCAGAGGCCGTGTTCCCTTATGCAAAGGACGTCTTCGTGAGTTACCCAGTTCGGAGAAAAGATTCCAGGGGTCCCTGGAGGTTGAATGGGGTTGACGTATTGAAAAGGGGCGATGCTTTTTCTCGCAGACCAAAGGAACAAACGCTCGATCTCTGTCGACTTAACGAGACAACGAGCACCGCGTTGTCTTTTGCGAACGATATAAACGCATTCTTCGATTCCGCCTTTAACTTGGCTTTTCCTGACATTTGCAAGGAACTCTTTCCTCGGGCGAAGCACGCAGATGATTAATTTGCTCCTCTCTCTCTCTCTCTTTCTTTCGAATTTCCATAAGCTTTAAAAAGTATATTCCTTTCTATATTGTTTCTATAAGTTAAAGAAAATGCGATGAAACGTATAAAATTATTGCATTTATAACAACTTATTACTATTTCATGTTTAGATTAAATAGCATTAATAGTTAGCTATTTAATTGTTTAGAATAAACAACTCTGTCTATTCTATATTTTGTATTTCCAATTCCTCAATTTTTTAGACAATGCTATTTACAATTACAATTATTTACAATCTAAAATTGACTTGTTTTACAATACAAAATAATTTAAATTATTTAACACTTATAAACTGCGTTTCTTTCAAACAATTTAAATCTATTATATATAAAATTGTTAATAAAAGAAAATGTTATGTCAATAAAAGGATATATATACGTTACTTTTTATAAAGTAATTATTATTATACACGCAAAATGAGAAATAAATATATTTTAATTTCTTCTATAAAAATACTTATAAAGCCCTCGTGCATCTTATTGATAATTACTTTTACCAGATTTAATCTTTAAATCTTTTAATATGCTACAATGTTTTACAATGTTTGAACATACAAAAATTTAACTACTCAAAAGCAAATGCTTGTACACAACGAATCTCCGGTATTTTCGCGAGGCTGGACAGAACGAGTATTAATGTCGGTTTAATGCAGGTTCATGTCTGGCCATTGCGATTCGCTGCGGACCGCTTAGACTATGCGACCAAAAGTTTCAGTACCGAATACGCGTGAAGACGAGGCTGAAGCTCGCCAAAGCTTCCGCGGCTCGTCTGCTGACTCTGCTGTGCGTCTTATCCGCACAGCAATCCAAACTTTGCTAAGTCAATAGCGGCGACCCTCCACGGATAAGAGGCTTCTGCGTCATGCTCTTCGATTAGTTTCGTTCCAGAGTCCCGGTACTACCGGCTGTGGAAACTTACGAGTCGTCACGACCGAGTGGTTTGTCTTTCTTCGTCTTCAACGACGGCTTCTTCCGTTACACTTCGCCCTTTTATACTTCACCACGTCAGCGCACCCGTTTATGAAAGAAATAAAAAGATTTTGCGTTCGTCTCCGTGGTTAAAAAACGTCGTAATGGCGGAAAATACTCGGTTGCAACGTATCGACATTGTTATTGGGTTTTGTGGCGAATCGCGACATTTGGTCCTTTCACTGTCTATAAAACTTGCGTATATATAGTTTACAGAGAATGCCTACGCTGTACAATCTTTCAATAGCGTTCTTAAAATCAATTAAATCCACGTTACATGATATACAATATATATTAGAATGTTGTTATATGCAAAAATCATTTAAATTTTTTAAATAAAGGTTTACAATTGTTCGAAATTAATCATTTTCCCACACAGTGCTAACGAGTTTACGAAGCAAAGCATAAAATGACGTTTTCGAATTAATTTACTCGTAATATAAGAAACCGAATATCTCTCGTGGATTTATTTTGTAATACATTATATATTTATAACGGCTGCTACACAGTTCTCGACTTGTTTTTGCAAACAATGCCTATTTAGAATATGGTATACATTGTGATATACACACAAGATCTTTGAACTGTTGGTAAATTTCAATATAATTTGTTTATCGGCCTCTCAAATTATCGCAGAGAATATCGTATCAAGTAATTTCAAAATAATGAATAGCCATGGTACATCGATCATGTATTAATAATATAATTAGCTCGGAAAAAGAAATAGAATATTGGGCATAAATGTTTTGTAAAACATTACAATATTTTCGGGAATATTTTCGAGTGGCAATTACATCCATGTGTTTACGGTAGCAGCAACGTACAATACCGTGCTGCGTAAACAAGGTCACCACACTATCATTCACGCGTAACAGTCGAGCAGGCAGGTAGCGGTGCGTACTGCTTTGTGCATCGTCATATTACTTTTCAAAAGCGATTGTGACGGGCGACACAGGAATATCCGATTATTCTCTCTGAATATTTTACGTTAATCCACTTGCGCTAATTAGCTAGCACTTATAATTAACGATACGTAAGCATATCAAGATGACGAAAATAATATCAATGTAAATATTTCACGAGTAGTTTGAAGTTAATTGTTTAAGTCGTTTAAGGCATATGCGAATCAAAGCGAAAAAGAGAAATTATGACTTTATTACAATATTTACAATCAATAATTATTTCTTTAATAATATTTGCATTCAATTGCATTGTTTTCGCGCTTAAAATTTTTGTTAATTATAAATGTAATATGTTTATTGTTTTTAGATTGAAAATGTAATAAGCGAACCGGATTGATGATTCAAGCATCGGAAAACTACGATACATTGACCGTTTATTAGTAATACATTTATTTAGCGAGATTTACGCGTTTCAAATGTGTTGCACAATACTGAATTTTGATGGTAATATATATTTTTGAACAGTCTATCGCGTTTTAATTAACCATTAACTTGGCTTCATTAATTGCATCGTATCACAGTGTGAAATTATTGACATTATTTACAAATTTTTCAGTTATTAACTTTAATTAACATTGTGATCACGGAACTGATTGACTCTAAGTTTATCGGTGACGCAACGCGAATTTAGTGTAATTACTAATTAGTAATTACAATTGTGCAATTATGTTTAATATTCATAACGTAGCATTTGGCTTGTATGCCAACGACTTAATTGTTAATACTATTCCCTATTTGAGGTTCGCGGAAATTCAGATTATATTACTTTGTGAAATGCCGTATTGTAGACAGACAATAGTCTTATGTATTTTCACATTATTCTTCCGTTACAATATAATGATATAGTCTTTATGATTTATTTCAGAAATGTCAAGCGATTTAGTGTTTTCGCAAATGATGTGTAAGGGCGAGTCGAAGAAACTAAGAAGAGGAAGAGGGAGGCATTGGACATCGGCGGAGCAACCCATGAGGTGAATTTATTATTTATTTAAATAATTTATTTTATTAAATTTTTAATAATTATTTGTTATTTGTAAATATGTCGAATTAATTTTTTTTGAAAATGATATTTTATTAAATAATTCCTTTAAAAAAAAGGTGAATAAAAATTCAATATTTGCAAAGCTATGTTTTAAAATATAAATTATTTTTAGGCCGCTTTGAAATAATCTGTGAGTGTATTTGTATTTTACAGATCAACATAGTTGTGTTAAAACTCCGTCTGCTGCGCATCGTATCGGTGAGTGTTAAATTACATTTGATTTTTATTTGAGGTAATAAAATTTACGAAAGAAAATAACGCTATAAATATGAAGAACATGTGTTTAATTTAAAATATCAGGTTTAGAGCATAAAATTATTATAAACATAATACATCATAGACAATATATAAACGATATTTGATATCGATTATCGTTCTCGTATAAATTCTTGGATTTTGACAATAAATTGAATCATAACTGAATTTATTATCAAAATTCAAGAATTTATAAAGTAATAATTACATTTCAATTAAATTTATTTTAAAAGATATAGGAACAGAAAATAAAACGTTTTTTTGCGATATGTGTGTGATACATAAAATTAAACAGTGAGTGTTAAAGTTAAAATTCATTATCAATAATAATCATTATCAGATAATTGCTACTAGTTGTATACATAACATGTAGTATCTGCATGTAAGTTAAATAATAAAACTAATTAGGGGGGTATCATCTGTACTGTGAGAATTTATAGCATTTAATAGATCATGGTAAATTTAAACGTTGATACGAATCTCATGATCTGGCAAACTTTTAATACCACACACACATACACACACACATTCGATAATTTTGATCATTTATAACTCGAAAACTACACTCTAGACATTTTCGCATTAGGATTTTTAATTCTATAATTAATCTCCATAATACGTTATTAAGATAGATTTGAGTTTCACACATAAAGGATAGTAAATCCTGTTTTTGTCTATTCGTTTAATCATATATAAACCGAGGCTTCTAACATCAACTTTGTCAATCAAAAGCACAATTGTACAATAATCGTCTTTTAGACAATTCCGCACCGTCCTTCGAAGGTTTTAGCCGAAGAACTAAAGTTTGTTCTCCTCGGCTGCCCGGTACACGCTCGATGATTAAAGACGTGACGTGACTGAAGCAATGAACGAAATGCATGAAAGAACAAAAGAGAATACGTGGCCTGTATAGAAGAAGACGTAAGTTTCTT